ATATTTAATAATTACTATTTTTTAAATATAAAGTTTTCCGTGCTAAATCATATAATGGATCATATAATCATATAATGGATATATTAAAATTAAAAAACTTTTAAAGCTGCTGAATCCGATGTTAAAATTAATGAATGCAATATGATGACAATTATTTTAATTAGTAAGTAATCAATTGCAATGTTTCTGTGATATAATAATAGATTCAATATTTTAATCACGAAAAATTTTATTATTATTTAACACCAAACGCAAATCGCACGCGCACGTATATTAGCGCCTTGCACATAAATATCACTTATAACCGCGCGTGAGGCGCTCTCGCTTTATGCCGGCTACGATTTATATACGTAAGATAAACTGAAATTAACCGATATGTGTGACTCTGCGGTTTTCACCTGCGGTCAACCGCGAACGGGTGCACGAGTTGAAGCGTGTGTCTCGTGATCTCATTCGCTCGTATTAAATGCTCGTATTAAGTGCTGCTTTAATGCGGGATACGGCGTATCGTGAAGCATTACGGAATGGATTTAACCGCGATATTAGAAAGACTCGAGAGAGCTTTAGAGAGAGCCCGCGATTCTCTCCGTTGTTTAAGATTGTTTACAGCAACAGCTGGCAATCGCGAGTTGCTTTTCTCGTGCACACACGCGGATGTCGCGCGGTGAGTCTCGATAGGATCGTCGTAAGAGCTCGTGAAATGTATGCCGATGATTCATCTCCATTAAGAGGTAACCATCTGATGGCAGTATATTCGCAAAGGTGTCCGTACCTCTAAAGTCCAGCTGTATGACGTCAAGGTCCGCGATAACCATCGGCGGTTTCGACGCGGTCTTTTCGTAATCGTTGAACCATTCGCACCGCAATCGTTTAGCCTCGTCCCAAACCTCGAGAAGGTCCTTATCGTACTGAACCACCACGGTATTCTCGTAAAACTGTCCGTGCATATCCGGCTTCGTACCGCATCTAGAAAGTGAAAAATAAGAACATAAAGAAATAGAGATTCTCTGCAATGGCTGATAAATATATAAGCGTATAAAGCTCATCGAAATATAATAAGACGCAAGAGAGCGAAACAATCTCGCCTCTTATCATTATATCGTCGCATTACAAATAAATAAGTGTGCGCGAAAGTTGAATTGAGATTTTCTCAGAGATAGAGAATTATATTATATTCCTCGATTAATCGCATGCACTCTCTACGGAATCAAAAACTTACCTCGCATAAGCTATCCGGAAGGAGAAGAATGTCTGACCGGTAGACGGTGGAACGTAGATGCATCGTGGATCCGCGTGCTGACCCTTGGACGAAACAATACCCTCGAAGGGCTGCGAGAAAGAGAGATGCACGTCCATGTGGTCTTTTCCGCACATCACCTCCAAGGACTGGATGGCCGGCATCCCCTCCGGTCTCTCCAGCGGCCAAATGTCGCTGTTGCTACTGACGCTCCTCAGGCCAATCACCTGCGCATTCAAAGAGTATTATACGTTTGTCCTTTGAACCCCCTTCTTTTTATTTTTTATTCTCGGCTTATTCTTTCGCTTCCCAACTTATTGTCCGACACGCACATACGACTCGTGGCGCTCGCGGCTTCGAAGTTACGTACGTAAAACGGCAAGAATATCGGTTGTCGATCCTACTCCCCTCGCGGCGCAAGAAAATTGCTCTTCGGTGCACAGAAGGGTCATCGGGTCGAAACATACGCCAAGATTGCTATATCTGGCGAAAACGTTCGACCGAGACGTAGCGTAAAGTCACGATCGTTGCAGATAATAATGCGCATAAATTTACATGTATTAAATTTAAATGTATTTTCAATCATCATAACTTAATAAAAGTTCTCAAAGTTTCTCTTTCTCTCTCTTTCTCTCTCTGATTCGTCCGTAATATGATTAAAAAAAATACAGAGTAAAGTTGTCAATAAATATTGACAATGCACAGTATCATTGTACGGAATTACACTCGACAGGGTAAGAAACAAAGTTCACAATTCAATTGAAACATCCGTTCCTCTCTCCTAATACGTCCACGTCGGAAATCATTAGCCATAAATCAAGTTCATTACCGTACTCGCGGATCGAGTCCCTCTTTTTTGCGCGCGACGCGCGCTTAGAAAGGTATATCGCGCGAGGATGGGGCCGTAATGAAAACTTAAGTACTCGTGTGTTTTCGCTCCGCCCGTCCATTAGATCCAAGATAATCCATACGATTTAACCGTAAATACCTCTCACGCTCAATCGGAAACTGACAATCTCGCTCCCTCGCTTCTCGCCGATGCTGAGGTAATCGCGGCGCGAGTCGCACGACAAGAGTGCACATCGCGGTGTCCATCACGAATTAATCAACAACACATACACACATATATATATATATATTGTATATATAGTTTTTATTGTACGTCATTGCGCATCCTTTCCGCTTCAAACGTAGGATATATTATGAGCACCATTATACCCTTCTCCTTCGCATATATATGCATATATGTACGTATGTATGTATGTATGTATATATATGCGTGTGTGTATGTGTATGTGTATATATGGCAATGTTTAGCGAGATCACAAAAGTATTAATGGCGATGATGTTGTTTTGTACGCCTCGCTTGACTGGTTCTCACGGCAGTAACGTATCTCATAAATCTCGAGCCGGGGCGCGGCGATAATTAAATTTATTATCTCGCCGTATTTATTATCTTAATAATAATATGACACTGTTATTGATGATATTTATTTTCTTGTAATAATACCGCATTGATTGATAGTGCAATATACATACCGCACGCTATGAGAAACTTTGTTTCCGATGAGAGAAACTTTGCTCAATTCGAAAGTAGAATTACAATTGCAATAAAGAGATAAAAGTGATTAATGAAAAAAAAAAACCAAAAAGAGATATAATATATTTCCGGGATAAATGGATATCACTTCCTGTTTTATGCATAACGTTCGCTCTTTTTTAAAATTTATAATAAAAAAAAAGTGCGGAGAGTAAAACGCTCGACGAAAATGGACGCAAGATTTATAAATCCATTAAAACCGTACACCGTTTGCGATCTCGTTGCGAGGAAGTATTACCGTTTTAGGATGCATGTATACGTTCTGGGTTTTGTACTATATGTGCTTTATCAAGATTCATTTATATCATTACCAACACAATGAAACTTTAAGCACTTCGATACATCTGGTCTATTAAATCCGATCTAGATTCCGCTTTTCAGTCCCTTTTGCTCTCGCTTGTATTATGATTCCATTGAAATATTTTATGCGACCTCTCTCTTTGTGCATTATGCGAATAAATGCGTTTAATTACGATTATTACGTATAACATTAGCTTTATATTCAAGCAAGCTTATTAATTATTTTCACAATATTAGCAAGATATTAGTCATTTTTTATTAATTTGTATATCTTAAAAAGTATTGAATAAATAATAAAATTAACATGTCGAACATCATATATAAAATAAAAAAGATTTTCGGATTCTTGCAAAAATTCATATACTCAGATTCGTTTTTCCAGATTACTGAACCAAATAGATCTGAGAAATATATAATATGAGTATAATACAACAATCATAGAGTAAATAACTAATTTGCAATTTTTTCTCGCGTTGTAATAGCAGATTTTACATTCTTGACGCAAACATTTTTATTAATTTTAATCTTAACAATGCAAACTTCTTTTGAAAATTGAACAAGTTTTATCTTTTTTTTTTATTAGACTGTATATATAATCATACAAGAAAAAAGTTCGAGCACATAGCCTCCATTCTCGATGTTCGAGAGATGGTAAATCATCATACACTGTAGGACGGACGTAATGATCGGGACACCGTTGACAGTTCGCGAAATACATCAGGCGTGTCTGTCAGGCAGTTTTTCAAAATTAAGGGATGTTATACGTACGGCAATGTATTAGCCCCCGCGAACGAAGAAAATATTAGACGCGAGAGTGAGCGAGCGTTGCGTCGTCGTCGAAGCGAGCAAGGTGTTTCCTATGTATTCCACGCTCGTACCGTAACGGGAGAAGCGTCTTTACCGCTGCATTAACGGTCGCCGTTTTTCGCGCAAGTGAAAACATGTTTCTCCTACAATCGCACTGTTAAATGACAGCGTTTCATTAGAAATGATTACGCACCTGGCGGACGCCCGACGCGCGTACCCCTTTTTGCCGCCGCGTATCGATATACGCGCGATCGTTGACTCGGGGAGCTATTACCCTTCCCCTATATCGCAAGAGTTCTCGATAGAATGGCACTCTCTCTCCATCGTCAGTTGAATTCGTCACCGTTAAAAACAAAAAGAAAAAAAGCGAACGCGTCATCGTTGGAATATTCTTCTTCTTGCGGGAAAAAAATGACAAGTAATATTCGCATACACGTCGAGGCCGTAGTTTTACGACTCGTCGGGACTCTTAGTTACGACCTCTCGCGCATACATCGGTATTCCAAGTTATTCGAGACGTGAGGCACATCGGTAGGCGAGTTTCCCATCGCGGCACCGTATTCGCGTTCGAATACTAATGTCCATCTGCGGGTAGTCGATTGTACTCGTGACAGCGGAAATAGCCACCTCGCCGGCGGCCCGCGTGCGCCGATCGGGAGGATCGGGGTCGACACACGAGAATGTAGAGAGGTTTGTACGACCAATTTTATCACTGACCTTCCTTAAACCTTCGGTAACTCCCATCGCGATTACATAACCATTGACGGAATTTGCGTCAAATTACGGGGTTATCCTCCGGGCAAGGATTTGTGGTAGAAGTAGAGGTCTCGGTTAAGGTATAATGAGCGTTTCCAAACTCACAGCTGATTAACATTCTATTTTACCATTATTTTCTGAATTGTAGACTACGATGGTATTCCCTAATACTAGTCTCGTCTGTCCCGGTCTACATTGTAAGAAATTATAGCGGTCTGGTGTATAATAATCGTCGAATGGGCAAGACACGCGTCTATTTCCCGAGCAAGGTCGCGGAGAGATAGATTTCTCTCTCTCTCTCTCTCTCTCTCTCTTTCTCTCTCACACACCGCACGGTACCGTCTCGACGCGTACTTTTGCGCGCACGGTTCTGAATAACCCGTGAGAAGAAGGAATGAGAGGGGAACCGGGTAGAGGGGCGACGGGAAAGGGGACCTCGAGACGCGGTAACGGTACCTAGAGTAGGCACGAATATCCGCTTGCAAGCTGTCGCGGCGGCTCCCGCCACGTCATCGCATTGTCATCCTAAACGGAGACCGGCGAATTCCCGCGAATTATCGCGAAGGGCCCAACGCGCGGGGAGCCCTTTTATTTCCCGCGGAAGAAAAAAAGCATTTATTATCACGGGCGATCACAAATGTGACTATTACGTGACGAAGGACTGGTAGATATCGCCGCGGGGACCGTTATTCATTAATTATAGGATCTAAGCGGCATAGAGAGTGCGTAGATCACGCCATTGGCCAAACACACACGCTCGGAATTACGGTCCATTATCAGAATCGGGCGCAAGTGGGGTCGAACGAACCGCGGGCACTACGTGCATCGTGCTCTAGGGCCTAATTGACCGACAAAAGAAAACCGCTAGAAGACGTGCGCGCGCGGGACGTAACGCAAGTCACGAGTCTCTCGTGTGAGTTCTTGTACCGCCACCGCTAGTCAATACACCGCTGTTCCCGTGCTCCCGTCTCCGCTTAACGCAAGCTCGCCCGCTCATTATTAAGACGGTCTCGTATTCTCTCGACGTCGATAGCACCGCGCTGATGAACCTTTCTAATTGAGGACGAACAAGGCAATATCTCACAGACGAAGCGTCGCTGTAATTATTTAGCATTACCTCCGACTTGAACAATGGGAATTACGCGGAATTGGTATCGCAGACAGACATCTTACTCAAAGTGTGTTAAACGTTACATTAATCTCTCCGATGCGAGAATTAATCTCCGAGAATTTAGGAACAACGTTAGACGATAAATTATCTTGTAATTTCTAGAATGGGGATGAGGGAGACGGGAAAGTGTCGTCAGCTTGGCACTAATTCAAAATCCATTGAAATATCGTTTCTCATCGTGTATAATACGGACTGGTTCCACGACAAGAGTTGCTAACGAGTCGGATATCCCGGCGATCGATATCCAATTCGCGTCAATATTCAATTTTGCAAATTGCGACGGCTTGCACATTTGCAACTTACCATATAGATCAGCGTACGTAGCAACTTCCACACCCCTGGCATCCTGGAGGTCCCAGCCTCTCGCGACGTAACACCGTCCTGCCCTGCAAAAAGAAAAACACAAACGCACTAGTCTCGCGTTAGAGTCCACGCATGAAAATTTCACGCTACACACCCGAAGCCGGATCTATTTTAATTTATCCGACCACCATGGTCTAGCGAGCAAATTAACCGGCCGCCGTTCGCGCAGGTCGCGCTTCGGATCCCAAGGAGGTCTCGGACGCAAAATTGATCCGTCCGCGGAGAAATCGTCGTTACGGAGTTTCCAGTACTTATGGCACGCGCGTTCGTGAAATCGGGATTGTAAGGAAGCGATGAAAAATTGAAGCGAACAATCTATATATGTGTACTTGACTTGACAGAGAATGTTTCGAGTACGTTTACAGATTGATGATTAAATATGTGTTTCGATTAAATATTAATTAGAAATACTCTCTTTATTGTTGGTCCTTATCTCTCCTCCTCCCGAGCTCGAAGCTTTCTTAACCCACGCGCGACGCCTTCCACATCTCTTATCGCTCTTTTATCGCTTTGGATTAATTTATAAGATTATCGCGACGACGCAGAATCGTGTGAAACACGATATAAAAACAGATATTGATAATCATAACGGTACGTGTTCGTAAAAATAACTTAATCCCGCACGAATATAAAATGTCCGCGTGTTTTCAATCCGGAGATGATGGATATGCAGCGAATAAGATGTAGCGTCGTGCAACGCGATTCT